TTGTTATGTGCCATTGAGTCAAACCCGACTCATAGCGACCTCTCCTTGGGTTTCTGAGGCAGTATATAAGGAAGTAGATTGCCCAACCTTCCTTCTGAGGAGTGGCTGGTGGGTTTGAACCGCCACTTTAACAAGCATCCCAGATGATCCTTATGCTCACTCACTGATTACATACTAAGTAACTAATAAATGTTCGCTGGATGAATAGATGGATAGATGAACAGATGCATAAATTAATTAGCAAAAGTAAATTCTCTTTGAGGTTTCAGGCTGTCTCTTCTGGGAAAAAATTAGGGAAAAAAAGTTGAGGGGACTGTTCTAGATTAAGAGAAATTATAAACATATGACAATCGAGTGCAATAAGTGGACGTTAAAAGAATCCTGCTCCAAAATAAACATTAAAAAAAAATTCAGAAGAAATTTGAATATAGACAGCATGTTACATGATATTAGAAAATATTTCTAGCTTTCTTAAGTAAGATAATTTTAATATAGTTACAGAGGAAATATCCTTATTCTTAGGAAATACATGCTGAAGGACTTAGGGATGAATATCATGATATCAGCAAGTTATTTTCAAGTAGTTCAACCAAAAATTGTATATGGAGAGAGTTCACAAAAGTGGCAAAATGTTCACTATTGTTGAGTTTAAGTGGAGTATATCTGGGTGTTCATTGTATATATTTCTTTGTCTTTTCTGTATATTTGAAATTTTTCAAAGAAAAAAAATTGAGGGTTAACTCATTGTGGTAGTTATGTTTGTGTGTCAACTTGGCTGGGCCTGGTTGAGTGGCTGGAAAGCTGGTGGTAGTTATTCCCCATGATGGGACTGGCAATCAGCTCCATGGTGGGATCTACCACAAGCAGCTGAGTAAATGCCTTTGGGATGTGGTCTGCTTCCTGTATATAAGGAGAAGCCTTGGGAATGGTCTCTAGCCTTTGGCATGCTTGGGCCCTCCGTGTAGCCCTGTCATTGCTCAGCAGCCTGCTATGCTCTGCCAACCTTGGGACTTATATGGACTTAAGTTAATAGCCTGCTATGTGTTTTGGTAACATCAGAACTGTGCCTTTTTACTTATCAACCTTGAGGCTTCTCAGTCTCAGCAGCCAGCAGCTGTCTGAGTGAAGAAATGCCTCTAGCTCCAGTGGGCCGGGAGCAGGAGGCAGAGCTGGACCCCAAGGTTGAGGGGCTTTCACCAAGCCCCTAGAGCCTGGCACTTTGAACTTGGACTTAAAGCCTCCAAACTGTAAGAATAAACTCCTGTTTGTTAAGGCCATCCCATTTGTCAGAGTGGTACTAGGTAACTAGAACACTCATCCACAATAAGATAGCCAAACCTAAAGAAGAATAAAATAAAAATTCTAAATACTGCATCTTCTTGGCTTTTGAGTGCTAACTTCCCCACCCCACCCTAGACTAATGCAATGCTGACATTATGCTACAAATTCTCTAGATCAGGTATTGCAACTAGTAATCTGCAGATAATATCTAGCCCTCATACATGTTTTTCTTGGTCCAAATGGAGTTTTATTTTGTTTTAAAAATTAAATTAGTTGATAAAAACCATGGGATTTTTATCCTGATACGTAAAATATGTTTTGTGCTATAAGGAAGATTGGGCAATATACTTCCATAGATATACCACCTCAGAAACCCAAAGAGAAGTTGCTATGAGTCAGGATTGACTCAACGGCAGTGAGTTTTGGATAATGATATGAAAGATGCTTATTTTATAATACCAAATGAGTATAGATCACTTCCTATGAGGCAAGCACTGCTCTAGGAGTTTCATGTATATTAACTAATTTAATTCTCACAACAACACTCTGATATAGGTAGTAGAATTTTTCTCCCTTTACAGATGGAGGAACTGATGCATAAAGAGGTTAACTAACTTTTGTAAAGTTTCACAACTACTGACTTTTGTGCCAGGGTTACAGTGTGGTCTCACTCCTAACCACTCCACTACAGACCACCACTCACAAAAATATGCATTTCTAGTTTCCTTGGAAAAATCAGAAGTCATGGCAACCCGTTCTACATGGACTGATTGACCAGAGCCAAGTAGTGCACCCCCCTGAAAGCAGAGCATGTTTTCTTCACTTGCTGGAGTCCCTGGTCAGCCTGCTTCTAGAGCACAGCTGAATACCTAAGAGTGAATGGCACGTGGTAGATACTTTACAGGAATTGTCCCAGATCAAGATTGAATCAGGCTGGCTGCTGAGTGGACAGGAAGCCCCAGAAGAAGAGAAGATGAACAGGATAACTTGGGCCAGATGCGGGAGAGTTCTGAATATCAGGATAATTGTCAGTAGACAATGGAGAAAAGAAACAGGCAGCAGAAGTCACATTCCCCATGGTTAGCAACAGACCCCATCAGAAGGCAGTATGGGTCTGTGAAAGGAGTGTGGGCCAGCATGGCCTGGTTGAAAACCTGGCTCCAGCACTTAGCAGAGGTGTGACCTTGGACAAGTTACTTAATGTCTCCAAGCTTCCCTGTACTATGCTTTCTGTTAAAATGGGGCAATGACATTTATCTCCAGGGAGATGAAGGGAATTGACTGGGAGAGTATGTAAGGTTACTGTTAATATCAATAATCACAACAGTTTTCTTACTAATAACTCATATTATTTACATTTTCTCCTAGAGTTAAGAAGCAAAAAGAAATTGAGAAACTATGGTAAGTAGCAGGTACTTATTGGATCTTCATCTAGCAGAGCTGCAGGCCTGGCTTCATTTATCCTGCAGCACTACCAGCTGGCAGACTCGTCCTTATGGACCAATGATATTTATTGGCTTTTTACCAAACCAAAGATGCTAGAACAGAACCTGGAAGAAATTAACACAGAGAAGGTAGAAAACATAGACGTGAGAAAGATTTATAAGTAAATATTTTTAGTAAAACTTTTTTTTTTTTTTAAAGTAGCCAACAAGCCAACAATAAATGTCCTACAGTTCCTTCATTCCTACGATGATCCAGGTCCCATGCTAGGTACTGGGGATGCAACTGTGAGCAAAACCAGACATGGCCTTTCTCGTGCTGGCACATGCTTGGGGAGGTCATTGGTTAAATGAAGGAGAGCACATTCATGTTCTGAAATGTTACATTGCCATTAGGAAGAAAATTTGCTAAGAGTAATTAACAAAAAACAATCTTGGTCCAGGTTATAATAGCAAGTTAAAAAACAGGATGCAAAATTGTAGTCATAACTATGAAACCCTAAAGAATAACATAGAATCGGCAAAATACCACATAACGTGGATGAACTTGGAGGACATTATGCTGAGTGAAATAAGTCAATCACAGAAGGGCAAATATTGTACTAGTCTGTTATTGTAAAAAGTCAAGAACAGGTTTATATATGAAAGGAAATTTTCTATCTTGGTTACCAGGGGTGGGAGGGGAGGGTAGGGAACACTGTTAGATAGGTGGAGACAAGTATTGATTTGGGTAAAGAGAAGGGCAATGTACCAAATGGGAGTAATCAACATGTTGGCATTGAGGAAGAGGAAGATATAGAGAGGTGTGTGGAAGGTTGAGACAGCAAAGATGAACCCTTTTGCACATACAGTACTGCATCATCAGTGAAGGCAAACATTGATATACAGGCAGATAGATGGGTCAACAGGCTGAACTATTAGGTATGACCATGCAGGGGTGAGTGTGCCCAAGACCATACATAGGGTTGGCAGACAATGTTTCTACAAGTGTATTGGTATGTTCTGTAAGAATTCCCAGGTGTATAGTAGAGCTGACAAGGGGCAAGGCTGTAATCATTTCTTGGCCACAGCCAGTTACCCAGAGGGAGTGAGTAGTTGGACCTGTGAACTTGGGACCATAGTTGCAGGGGACATCAAACTCAATTGGCATAACATACTACACAAAAACGTTGTTCTACATCCTACTTTGGCGAGTAGCGACTGAGATCTTAAAAGCTTGCAAGCAGCCATACAGATGCAACAATGGGTCTCTCATCCAGAAAAAAGAATGAAGAAAACCAAGACACATGGAAACAATTAGTCCAAGTGACTGGTACACCATGTGATCCTTAGCCTATACGACTATGAGACCAGAAAAACTAGATGGTGCCCAGCTACCAGTGTCAACCACTCAGAAGGGGATCTGTGTAGGAGATCCTAGATAAAGTGGGAGAACAATGTGGAACAAAACTCAAAATCATAAAAAAAAGACCAGGTTTGCTAGTCGGATAGAGCCTGATGGAACCACTGAGACTATGGCCCCTAGTTGCCCTTCAGATCTGGAATTAAACCCATTCCCATGGCTTCCAGCCAAACAAAAGATAGGCATATGAGCTGAACATTTACAATAGGTAGATACACTCCTTGGAGAGACCATCATGGGAGAATAGAAGGGCTGTGTGTGCACAGGGAGACACTCGGGGCAGGAGTGCATGGGAGGGAAGGACACAGGGAAGAGGTAAGTATGGGGAAGAAGTGGGAGGGGAGCTGTTGAATTGTGGGAAATTGTAGTCAATGTCATGAGACAAAGTGTATGTGAGCTGCTATATGAAAAATGAATTTACTCTGTAAACTTTCATCCAAATCACAATAAAAATTTTAAAAAAGAAATTGTATTCATAGCATTAACACCATAATCTGCAACTCAAATATAATATTGTCAACATTGTATAGTCTATTACATTCAGCATCCCCCCTTCCACCCAATTCTAAGTACATTTACTACATACATATATGAGCAATTGGAAAGTAAAGTGTTGATAGTTGTTATTTCAGAGTATGAGTGAATTTTGCTTTCTTCTTTATGATTTGCTATATTTTCCAAGATTCCTACAATAAGCATGTGTAAATAGGAAATAAGTCAATGAAAACATAGCCACAGAGATAGTTTTCACTTGTTTTCTCTTTCCCATGCCCTTTGCGTCTCCAGGGCAAGACATGCAGGCCTCCATCTGGGCAGCACAGGCATTGTGAGAGATGCTTCAACCGCCACTGTCACATTCCTGTGGAACCAAACATCTCCTGCCTGATGATAAACTGCCACCTTCTCTGTGGTGCCGTCTTCCATATGTGCAAAGAGTCAGAACATGAGCTCCTTTGCCCCTTAGAGCAGGTTCCATGCCTCAACTCTGAATATGGCTGCCCACTTACCATGTCTCGCCACAAGCTGGCCAAGCACCTGCAAGTGTGTCCTGCCAGCGTGGTCTGCTGCTCTATGGAGTGGAACCGCTGGCCCAATGTGGATTCTGAAACAACCCTTCATGAGAACATCATGAAAGAAATCCCCAGTGAGGAGTGTTTGGACACAGCCCTGGCCCTCCAGGACCAAAAGGTCCTTTTTAGATCCTTGAAAATGGTGGAACTTTTCCCAGAAACTAGAGAAGCCACTGAGGAGGAACCAACTATGGATGGTGAAGAAATGGGAGGAGCAGTGGGTGGAGCAGATGCTGGTATGGTACCACACGGCTCTCTGTCAGCAACTAATGGAGAGATGGTAGAGCTGAGTCAAGAAGAACGAGAGATATTAGCCAAAACCAAAGAAGGGATGGATCTAGCCAAGTTTGGCAAGTGGGAAAATATGTTCAGCAAAGAGCATGCAGCCTCCATTTTAACAAATTCATCTGCCAGTTGTGAGAGCAAGAGTAGAAATGATTCAGGGAAAGAACAGATTTCTAGTGACAAAAACATGGTAGAAGGAAAGGACACAGCCAAAGGGAAAGAACCACAGGAAAATGAGAAGCAGAAGGACTTTCATTCAGCTGTGGAAACGATGGGGCTTGCCCCTTGGCAGGATGGTGTTCTGGAAAGATTAAAAACAGCTGTCGATGCAAAGGACTATAATATGTATCTGGTGCACAATGGGAGGATGCTTATTCACTTTGGTCAGATGCCTGCTTGTACACCTAAGGAGAAAGACTTTGTTTATGGCAACCTTGAGGCTCAGGAAGTTAAGACTGTTTACACCTTCAAGGTTCCTGTGAGCTACTGTGGAAAGCGGGCTCGAATTGGAGATGCCATGTTGAGTTGTAGGCCAGGAGAACACAAGGCAGTAGACACTTCAGATTTGGGGATCCCTGTGGAGGAACTGCCAAAATCAGATCTCATCAAGACCACCCTTCAGTGTGCTTTGGAAAGAGAACTGAAAGGTCATGTTATCTCCGAATCCAGGAGCATTGATGGGCTGTTCATGGATTTTGCCACACAGACCTACAACTTTGAGCCAGAACAATTTTCCTCTGGGACGGTTCTAGCTGACCTGCTAACCGCTGCCAGCCCAGGGGGCCTCCACGTGGAGCTCCACAGTGAGTGTGTGACCAGGAGACACAACAAGAGCAGCTCTGCCTTCACGTTTACTTGCAACAAATTCTTCAGGAGGGATGAATTCCCCCTGCACTTCAAGAATGTCCACACAGACATTCAGTCTTGTCTCAATGGCTGGTTCCAGCATCGATGCCCCCTAGCCTATTTGGGATGTACATTTATTCAAAACCATTTCCGTCCCCCAGGGCAAAAGGCGAAGGTGATCTATAGTCAGGAGCTCAAGACCTTTGCCATCAAGCCCGAGGTTGCATCAGAGCTGAGTGAGGGGACGAAGAACAAATACCCCGCAGGCCATGGAAGAAAAAGCCAGAATTCTCTAACTAGCCTGCCCCTGGAGGTTTTGCAGTACATTGCTGGGTTCTTGGACAGCATCAGCCTGTCCCAGCTCTCCCAGGTGTCTGTGCTGATGAGGAATATCTGTGCCACTTTGTTACAAGAGAGGGGGATGGTCCTCCTGCAGTGGAAAAAGAAGAGGTATTCCCATGGAGGCACCTCCTGGAGAGCCCATGGAAAGGCAAGTAAACACCATTCATTCATTCATTTGTTCAGCAAATATTTACTAACAGACATCTATGTGCCAGGCATTGTACCAGACATTGGAATGGCTGGGAGTCACCATGGCCCCTGCTCTCAAGGAGTTCTAGTAGGGAAGATGGGCTTATAAACATATAAATGGTCCCAACTGCCATTAAGTTGATTCCAACTTATGGCGACTCCATGTATCAGAATAGAACTGTGATTCAGAGGGTTTTCAAAGACTGATTTTTCAGATGTAGATCGTCAGATCTTTCTTTTGAGACACCTCTGGGTGGACTCCAACCTCCAACCTTTCAGCTATCCACTAAGCACATTAACTGTTGGCACCACCCTGTTTATAAATGTGTTCCTGAATATGTCCCATTCACCCACATGCTCCATGCTCCATCCTCCTCCACCTTGTTCTGTACTCAGGAGGGTGACTTCTATGGGCTTCACCAACAGGCTTCCTTGCCCACTGGCTTCCAGTTGGGCTAATCTAATGCGAGTTTATCAGCAAGAGATGGGAGGAAGGGAGGAAAATGAAGTTGGTATATCTGTTCTCTGGTTACCACTCTCCACTGAAGGTGGTGGCTCTCAAATGGCTCTCTCCGGAAAGCTACTCTCTCTGGGTTCCAGTAACCCTCACTTCTGCTTTCTTTTTAGGCCTAGAGCAGTAACACTTCTGATTGTTACTAACTCTGGGTACTATACAGTATCTTGTGGTTTCCTACCCACATATTTGTAAATCACTGCTTTTATGAAAAATTCTCTTCAAATTATCCAATTTGAATGTGTTGTCTGTTTCCTGCCAGGTCCCATTGAAAACGCATTTTGAAAACCTAAATGAATGTAATTCACTGATTTCACCTGGGTCAAATGCTTATTTGAATTATTATTATTTTTAAAAAATTCTTCTGTATAAATTATAGAATTTTTCCCCTCAGAAAGATCTTGCTCCTTATCTCCAATGGGGCCATACTACTTACCTGTATTAAATAGCTCTTACCAACTTGTACCATACAGAAGTGAGACTTCTAATTCAGGGTCCAAGGTGCCCTTATTAGCATCCTTTCTCATGGTAAATACTTTGGTAATCCAAACTATGTATTTATGATGACCTTTTAGGTTAATGATCCATAATCTCACTGTTTAGTTGGTTTCCAATATGTGAGTGTTTGCAAACTGGCCTTGGAGAGTTAGAGTTGTTTGTGTCTGTTTCTTTGATTATGTCCGAAATATCTTGTATATTTTCCATTATTTATTTCCTGAGCAGTCTTCTTCTTCAAAACATAATTGTGGGAATCTCCATGTATTCATGCCTGCATCCATGCATGAAATAAACACTGAGTGCAAACCAACCATGAGTTAGGGATAAAGGTGAATGAAATTAAGACCCTGAATTCAGGAATCTTACAGTCTAGAACAGCCTAGTATCTTTCTGTATAAAATCAGAATTGAATAATTAAATGTATGTACTAGCAATACCATCGTTTCTTTTGCTCAAGTTTGTCCCCAATTCAATGATTGCTAACTCTTCTTGGATATTTTGGGCAAACCAATTTCCTAGCAGGAAGGCAGACAGACAATTTAGTTGGGGTTGGAAGATGCTCATATTGAAATAGCTTTTAAAATAAAAAGAGAAATAGTTCTAACACCCCAGGCAAGAACTTTTTACATAGGAACAGAGACAAAAAACTAAGGAGGAAGTGGTCAGGATGAAAGGTTATCAAGTTATATCTAACTTCATAAGCAAATTTTAAAACCAAGGACTTGCCACTGCAGCCCAGGTGGAAAGGCCAGAGGGTGTTTAATTGAACACCAGGCCCCTAGAATTCTGCTATGGGCTTCCTATTGTAGTAAGACTCTTATTAGTAAGGATAATTTTCATTGTTAAGTAATTAAAAAAAAAAAAAAAAAACTGGAATAAACAATAAACGGAATTTATTGGCCCATATGAGTAAACAATCCAAAGATGATAGCTTTAGGTAAGGGTTGATCTAGCAGCTCCAAAATGTCATCAAGGACCTTCTTTCCATTTCTCACTTCTATTTCCTCAATAGTGGCACCATTGTAAAGTATGGTTCTCCCTTAGTGGTCCCCCATGGCTGCCAGCAGTGTCAAGTTCAGAGGGAAAAATATCTTCAAAGAGTTTTAGAGTAGAGTCTCATTGGCATTGATTGTCCTGATTTGAGCCATGTGTCTACGCTAGACCCAATCATTGATCATTGGGGCTGGGGGAGGAGGGACAGCATCAATATGAGATTGGATTCAGCCAATCCTAGAGCTTAATCCACTAGCGCTGGTGTGAGTCATTCCCACACAAATTATATGGCTGGGTGGCAACTAGGAATTGGATACTGGGGAAGAAATTAGCAAATGTCTGAAATCACTAAACACTCCCTCGAAGCTAAGAATAGGAAGAATAATTGCAAAGAATTTCTTAGGCTGATCAAATAAAGCTGATCTGAGGGTATTGCCCTAATGTTCACTTTTGAGTTTCTTTCTTTCCCAACAGATCTGGCAGTTCAGCAGCCTCTTCTCCAAAATCAAGAGCTGGGAGTTTAATGAAGTCACTTCCATGTCTGAGCACCTGAAGGTCTGTCCATTCAACATAGTAGAGCACAAAACTGATCCCATTCTTTTGACCAGCATGCGTGAGCCCCAGAAGCAGGTCCGAGAGAGTTTAGTTTCCACCTTTAGACCCAGATACCGAGGAAGAAAAGCCTTCTAAAGATCCAGACACCACCATTCTTGGATTTCCCCCTTGGAGTTCCAGAAAGTATGACAAAGTGTGGTTTTGAGGACTTCCCTCTGTAAACTGCATCTGTGCGTCTCTGGGTGGGTTGGAATATGCAATGTCCTCCAAAACCTGAGTGGTTGCCCAAGGGCTAAGGAATTTCCTAAGGCACAACTTGTATAATTGCTATAGGGCCATGTTCATCACTTATTACCTTTCCTTTTGCTTTAGAAAATAAGTCAGTCTGAGGAGAAAATAGGTAACTCTGAGACCACTTGAAAAGTGAGAGGAATGAAATTCTTTAATCAGCACAGGCCTGTGCTTTTATAAAGGGATTTTGTTTGATTGTTTGCAAAGCAGTTTCAAACCCATAGGGCAGGCAATGCAGGGATAAGGTCTGCAGTTCAGAGAGTTACCTCACAGGACACCCAGAGTGAAGAGAAGGCTGCTGGATCTGAGTCTGCTTAATAGCTGGGCCCAGGGCTTATTTTACTTGGCCCTGCCTTTAAACCCAGGCAGTCCAATACAGCCTGCCAGAGAACTCCCTAGCTAGCACATGGCCTCTGAGGGCACTACAGGTCAAAGGATAAGAGACAGAAGTGAAGTCACAGATTATGTTGTATAGAAACTTGGGCAAACTCTTATCTCACAGTTACCCACAAAGATTTTGATTTTAAGCAGCTCTTTTTCAGATACCAACATGATTTTAAATTGGTGATTTTAAGTTGGGAACCAGACAGGGCTAATTTGTTTGTGTAGCTTCATGTCCTAGAGCCACATTCAAAATACAGACCTTCAGTTCTTTCCAGGTGCAACTGAAGGCAGGAAAGTTGCGTTATTTGTCTTGTGTTTATCTATGCCATCTTAATTGATGCCATTTACCCAGCCATCCTAGCAGACCTCAAGTAAATGATAATTAGAGGGCAGGGAGAACAGGCAACATGGGGAAACAGACAATAATGAATTTAGCCAACGAAAGAAATAGTCTAGTTAATTTGGATGAACATGTTGGTCATGGTGTCATTCTTGGTTGGAATGTGGTGTAAACTAAGTAGATCACACCTTGAAGAGAGGTCAAGAATGCGTTAGAGCAAGTCCTAGAACAGAAATATGCTCATCGTTTCATTTTAATGTGCCACTTGGTACTATTTGGAAACATAACTCTCTTTTTCCTTATACCTATTGCTTGGTTTATATTTCACATTTGTATAGAAGACACCACTTTCTAAAAGTATAGTGAGAATGTAATCTAAGGTTTCATTATGATTTATTCAGTGAAGAGGAATAATTGGAAACAGCCCTGAAGTAGGAAAACAGGAAGAGCACTCTCCTGGTATCAGTCCCATGTGTTTTAATCTTTTTTTTTTTTTTGCCTATCTGGAAAAAGAAATCCCCTAAAGTATGCTCTTGGTTTCTTACTTCATTAGAAAAACAGAGAAAGGGGAGCTAAAGACCAATAGAGATGAAAAGCAGGGGCTGCTGTTAGAGGGCTGAGAAGTAATGGGTACATAAAAGGAGAAAGCAGTGGGCTTTCCCTCCACAACCTGGGTGGGTGGGGACAGCACAGGGGCTCAAGGGAGTGCTTGCACCTGCTCTGAGGGCTGTGCACCTCCAGCAGCATTTTCCTCTCACAGTTACTACCTGAACAGCCGTATTGACTGATCAACATTATCAAACCCATTTTATGAGATATCTAATCATATATTTTGCAGGAAATCAGGGTACTACAGGTATCCATTGGATTCCCCAGGTAGTGCAAATGGTTAATGCATTTGGCTGCTAACTGAAAGGGTGCTATGCCACCCACCCACTCAGAGGCATCTCAGAAAAAAGGTCTGGCAATATACTTCTGAAAAATCAGCCATTGATAGGAAAGGAAGGGCACAGGGAAGAGGTAACCACAGGGAGGAAGTGGGAAGAGAGCTGTTACATTGCGGGGAATTGCAGTCAATGTCATGAAATAAAATGTGTGTGAAATGCTGTATGGAAAATGAATTTGCTCTGTAAACTTTCACCCAAATCACAATAAAAACAAAGTAAATTCAGCCACTGAAAGCCCTATGGAGCCCAGTTCTACTCTGACACACATATGGGGTTACCATGAGTCAGGGAGTTGACTGACAACAATTGGTGGTTACTAGTTATACAAACACATGCATTTTATGGCAAGAGGGCAGATGGAGCGGAAGGGAAGCCTTTTAGAGAGATTACGGATTACACAGAAGACGATTTGCTGGTGAGATGAAGCTTTAGTGAGCAACATCGGTGGGGAGCGTTATCTGACAGAGTCAAATCAGTTACACAAATTTTGGAATTAAGAGCAGCTCAGGGGAGCTGAAGAGGGACTGTGTACCCAAGAATAGGAGCCTTGACTGGGGAGACCTCTGTGAGCAGAGCCTTTGGTGAGTATCACCACCAAGAAAGTCAGTAAAGAGATCAGAGTAGAGTAGAGATCAGCCAAACACAGAGGGTGAGGTCTGTAGAACCAAAGCAGGAAGGACACTGCTGCCTTCGTAGCATAGGAATGGGGGATGGGGATCTGTCACATAATAAATGAAAAAGTTAGGAACACAGTGGAAGTTGGAAATGTAACAGAAAAGCTCCTATAAAACTTTATTTGTGATGTCAAATCAAAATGAGGTAAGGAACGAGATTGTGTATATGTATGATAACTTGAAATCATAGTATCTCTACAAGCAGAAATAAAAGCTGCTTTGCAATCTGAAGGTGAGACATGGAGAAGTCACAGTGCAAAAACTGGGTGAGTCTTGTGAGTAAGGTCTACGGACAGATTTGGGATTCATTAGCATAGAAGTCATCATTGAAACCAAAGGAGTGTGTGTCTGGAAATGCCAAGGAATGAGCCTGAGGCACACAGTGTTCTAGGCACATGGGCATCTCACCAGCTGTATGAAGTCCTGGAGCACCTCTGCATCTCAGACACCAATCCTAGCCCTTTCTCAATCCCACTACTCTCTCCATCTTTGAAAGCTAGACCCAACTTCAAATACTTTTTATGGCATGTACTTATATGTCTTATGAGGCAGAGATCTCCTATGCCAAATCTCTCACTTCTATGTTGGTTTTGTCCTAGAATCCTCTATCTCTGATCTTGCTGAGACTAACCCCATGGCCTGGCACTGGGATAACCCCACCTTGACCTACTCTCTCTCATCCCATACTGTGCTTGGTGATTAGCTTGTTGCCCACCATGTTGTTGTTACGTGTCGTCTAGTCCTCTATGACTCATAGCAACCTTATGTACAACAGAAGGAAACACTGCCCAGTCCTGTGCCAGCCTCACGATCCCTACTATACCTGATCCCATCATTGCAGCCACCATGTCAATCCATCTGGTTGAGGGCCTTTCCCTCTTTAATTGACTCTCCACTTTACCAAGCATAATATTTGTCTCCAGGGAACGGTCCCTTCTGACAACATGACCAAAGTAGATGATAACAAAATCTGGCCATTCTTGCTTCCAGGGAGCATTCCAGCTGCACTTTCTCCAGGACAGATTTGTTAGTTCTTTCAGCAGTCCACAATACTTTCAGCATTATTCACCAGCACCCATCTCAAAAGCACCAACTTCCACACACTTCCTCCATCCATCTGCTTCCCTGGCCGTTGATTTAAGTCATACACCTAGCTCAAGTGGTGTCCACTGTCTCTGGCTCCAAATCATTTTAATACCTCCCTTGAGCCTGTGTTCTTTTAACTTTACACTCTCCTGTTACCAATCTTCACTTTTCCTACTTCCTATACCCTAAGTCATGTTTCTTCCTCTAGAATCACCATGTCCTAAAAGTGTGTGGTCATTACTCCAAGGAAGAAGGTGGCTGGCCTCCCACAGCCGCTAAAGCCAGTAGGAGTTGAACTGCCTTAATGTACATACTATCTGACCCCTGGTGCCCACCTTACTGGCCATTCTCCAATCTGATCTGTTTTGATTTGGGTTTAAAGTACAGTCTAAGGAAAAGGACCAGCCTTTGACATTTAGGGGACTGGTGGATGAGCAGTCTTCTGGATACACCAAGAAGAGGGAAGAGAATTGGAACCCGTGGGAGCCCAGAGCCACGGAGAGCTGCACAGAAAGTACTATTTACCTCAGCATAGGGGTAAACCATAGTCCCATTTTATTTCCAAGTTTAGGACTGGGAGAAAGAAGATTCAGAGAGATCTTTGCAGGAGAAGTGGGCAAACAGCATGACTTGGCAAAGAAGGGAGTTGAGGTACTTTCCTAGGTAAGCAAACCAGAAATTCCAGAAAGAAGAACATAGCTTGAGGTGCTTAAAGGGAACATTCATGGAGTGGGGGGGTAGGCAAGACCACAAGATAAGTGTCCAGAGCAGATTAGTCCACTCTATGGCCTGAAGCTTATCAGGGTAGAGAGGACATTGAGGGGAAGGAGTCATTCTTTATTATGCAAACTCTGCCCCAAGCAAAGTCCAATTTACTGGAACTGGAGGAGGAAATCTGCCCAGAATCTCAGGCAACTTGTAACATTCTGTTAGATACTTGAAGCAGGAATGAGGAGGGGGTGGAGGCAGAGCCACTTTGGACATGGAGAAGTCACAGTGCAAAAATTGGTGGGAGTCAGTCACTACAGGAGCTTGACATAATTCGCAGGGAAGAGTCCGAAGTGGCCATGGCAATGTCCCCGCCACCAGCCCTCATCCACCATCTCAATGTCAGTGATGATGTCATCTGGATCAAAAGAAATCTCATCACTTCCCTCTGTGGAGGAAGTTGAGGGAATATTAGGGTGGTCAAGCAAGAATCCCTCCATTCTCGTGTCTACTCTAAACCTCAGGGAAGGGAATAAGCCTAGTTGTCTCCTTGACATCAAGCCTGGGACCTTCCTTGACCCCCAGGATTCATATCCTTGACTCTTATATCAGGGGCCTTCAGGCATCAGACCCCTCAGGCAACTCCCAACCTACCTCCTTGGTAATCATACAGGGCTACAGCTGAGATCCTGGAAACCCCAGCCAGGTGGCCTGGTGATCCTGTATAATGAGAAATTTAAACATGGTCTCACCAAAATGAAGAAGTCAAACAGATAAATCCTGCTGAACAATAAGAGAATTCCTCTCCTTACTTTCCTCCCCCAGAGCTGACCAAATTCAGAAACTGCTTCTTTCCCCACAACTCACCAGCAAGAGCAGAGGAAAAAGGAGGATTCTCAGGCTCAATTACATCCTCGTAGTCTCCCTCTGCATCATCATCCTGCTTATGCCTGTCCATGCTCTCTGTGTCCTCATAGTCCCCGTCTGCCTCATCCTGCTCATGCCTGTCCATGTTCTCAACATCCTCATAGTCATTCTCAGTCTCAGGTTCGGGCATAGGTTCTGCTTCATAGATCGGTTCTTCTTTCAGCTGGAGACCTTCCAGAGTCCTGGGGGGCAGAGCTGGAGGTTCCTCATTGTCCTGAGAAGAGACAACATAGAGCAGAGTGACTTAACACCACCAAGACCTGCCTCTCCAAAACTTCCCAGTGGAAGACTGCTAAGATCTCCCCCTTCACCACCCTACCACTTCTACCCTCCACACTTGCCTCCATCTAACAGTCCCTTGGGGAGAGCCCAGCTTCATTCTAAAACCTCTTCCCACACCCACCAACTCAATATATCCACCAAGAGGATTGTAAAAGGTATGAGGGGAGGGAAGTGGAAAGCAAGTCAGATTTCTTGGAAGATCAGGAAAAGATTCAAGCAAGTGAACATTGTAAGGAGTAGCATGGCTAGGACTACTCCTAGGTGTGAGGAGTACCACCAACATCCCAGTTTTCTGGAGAGAGAAGTTTCCCAGGACACTGCTTTTACATGCCAAGACCAGGACAGACCCAGGCAAACCAGGCTGGTTGATCACTATATTTAGCCTAAGACATGAGGAGACAGACTGAGGGCAGAGATCCTTCAGCACTATGCTTACCTCTAGGGGATTCTGCCTCGAGGGCAGGGAGGGCACTGGGAGGTCCCTGCCGGTGCTCACAGGCTCAGGCTTTGAAGACGAACAAGTCCCTGCTGGAGGCCAGGCCTGTGGAGAATGAAGCCATCTCTCCAGTAAGCAAGCCTCCACCTTCTCTCTTACCGTCTTTTCTTACCTAGAACACTTCCTCCCCTTCTCTGTCCATCCATATTCACCTCATCCCTCAAGAAGAGCTTCAACCTGAACTGGTGACTCCTTCCGTTCCTGTAGCAATGAATGGCTGCACTGGTTGGTGACCAGTCTCCTGATGCATTATGAATATCTTGGGATTTTTTTGTTTGTTCCTAATGTTCTGGTATAGGAGCCCCAATTTCAGTCTGATTCAGTCAGACTGAAATATCCCATAAGAAGACATGGACAGCAGTTACAGACTCGGCCTAACATAGGGGAGGCCTTTGCCTTTTTTCTGCCATTGACTCAGACCCACTAGGCTTCTGTCTTGACAAGGGATCATGGATGTAGATTCTGGGGAGCCAGGCACTCACTGCTGAGGAGATTTTCTTGGGCAATGGAGCTGGCACCACTGGCTCTTCCACAATCACCTCTGGTGGCTGAGCCTCATGGCTCATCTTTACCACAGGCTTTCGCTCCTGTTGTTTCCTGGCCATCTGCTTTGCCTTTTCTTCTTCTTCCAGCTTCCTCTTCTCCTCAGCCATGGACTCAAATTTTGCCTTCAGTCCACGGGCGCCACTAGAAGCTACAGACACAGGCAAGAAGAACTTGGGTTGTCTCAGAGTGAAGGTGAGGGGAGTGAGAGGTTTGAAGGAGAAACAAGAATCAGTGAAATATCCAGGAGGAGAGAAGATGGGAAGAGGACTGCTGGGAATGGAGTAGGTACAGAAATATTGATGCAGGAAGAAGGAGATTATAGGAAGATGGTATCACCCTGAAACCTAGATTTCTAACTAGCCAAGACACGCTACCTCCAACATTCTTGTGCTTTCTAAATTTAAGCCTCGCTTCCCTAACCAGAACTCCTTCCTATCACATTCCTTAATTCTATATGTTCTCTGGCCACACCCCACCCTCTACCCTCAATACCAAGCTCCCATCCCTCTCTATACTTATCAAGCAATTTCACTCCCTCTCTGTATTCTCTGGAAGCCTGGGTGACACAGTGGTTTGCAAATGGTTGCTAACCTAAAGACTGGCAGTGTGAACTCACCCAGCAACTCTGCAGAAGAAAGACCTGGCAATCTGCTTACATAAAGGTTATAGCTAAGAAAACTCTAGGGAGTAGTTGTACTCTTTAACACATAGAGTTGCCATAAAACTGGGAGCTGACTCAAAGGCAGCTAACAATAACTTTTTGTTCCTTGCCCCCAGCTCTTTTCCTTAGGACACTTGATCTCTTTGTCTTCTGAACCTGATTTTTGCAGGAGAGAGAATCTGGGATATGAAGGTAGGGGTCAATCATACCTCAACCTAGATAGTGAAGGGCCTGGAGGAGATAGTCTGGAGAAGACAAAGAGTGAGAGGAGAGAACAGGTTGAGTAGCATAGGAAGAGGGGAACTTTAAGACTCACCAGCCTCTATGGGTGTCGTCTTCTTATAAGCTGTGGTTGGAGCTTGCATTTCATTGAAGCCAACAGCACTCTGCAGGTAGGAGAACAGTGTGTGGGGTGGAGGCATGTGGGGAGAAGGTAGTGACCCAGCAGGCAGCACTGGAGGCTGAGGCCAGAGTAGGAGGTATTTTCCTAATCATGCTATTCTTAATAATTGGACAGCATATTCTAACATTATTCTTTTGTGGCCAAGAGAGGGATTAAAAAAGCTCTAAACTGGTAGGCCAGTACTCCTTTTTGCAAGCTCAGCATACCTCAAATCACATATCTTCAAGCTCAATTGCCTAGAATGCAGCAGTGCTTGAGGAGGAACTGGTGTAGGGGAGGACAGAAACATTAGTGGGAAGAGACTAAAGACTGGGTTCAGCAATCCATGAATATTCAAGTCTAACATCACCTTTCTCTGGGCTTTGTTTGTCTCTCTCTTGCCTCCTTCATTCTCCTCAGTTAGAGCCAAGGCCTCTGAAGTCATGCTCATTAGGTGCAAAGGTCAGTCAAGAGGGAGTGCAGGGCACCAGGGGGACAGGCTTTGGGGATCTAGAACCACTGTTCCTTCTTTCCCAGATTTGTTTCTTACACTTCTCTATCCACTTCAGGTACAGTTTGGGGAATTCTGAACACATTGATGTTCTGGCACTTTACCTTATCTACTCGGTCCTTCTGGATCCCATACTGGCCACCAAAGCCCTTGGCATAATCTGAAGAACAGGAAGTTCTGAGAGTCAGTAACAGGAGTGGGTGGGGAAAAGAAACAGTGGAAGGAAAGACTAGAATGCAGGAATGTGGAAAATTAGCAGATATATGAGGAACTGTGAGAATCAGGATAGAGAGAGGCATGGAAGGGATGAGAAGGAAAAGGATGGGGAGGAAAAAAACAATAGGAAAGAGTGATGGAAAGAAAGAGATGCCAAGAAGGAAACATAAAGAAAGATATGACAGAGAAGGGGACAATGTAAAGGAAGAAATACGAAAAAATATTGTAAGGAGAGCTCACCACCCCAACCCTTCCAGCCATTTCTATGTGTCCCAGGGAAGAAGTAGACCTCTCTGTCATCTGTGAATAAAGGGACCTCTAAGACTTATAGCCTAACCACCTTGCTGCCTCCACCCAGACTGTTTCTTCAATTACCCCTCCTGTCTGGCCTCCCTCCTCTGCCTTAGTCCTAATCTTGCTATTTCCCTCTTCACCTCTTTTGGTGTTCTCCACTCATACACACTTTCTCTTCACCCACCTTTTCCACTGCACATCTACCTTTCTGATTTCTACAGGCCCCTAGAGTACTCTGTGCCCTTCCTCCTCCCAAGCCCAACTCACCTCTCTGAGACTCGTGTTTCTCGGTCTCTCCCTTGTAGTCATACCCTAGGGCTGCCTTGTCTCGTTTATCCTTCTCCACACCATAACGGCCACCGAAGCCACGGGAGTAATCTATGGTTGAAGTAGGAATCATGAGAGCCCACCCTCAGCCCCTAGGAAAGCTGGAAGGAGAGAAGTCAGGAGGAAGGGTGTAGGATGGATGGGATCTGGGGAAGAGACCAGGGCTTGAGTATAGGTGAATTTAAGAGAAACAGTGCCCTAAACCTTCTTTTGTAAGCTTTCATTCAACACTGCTCACTCCTTTCCTCTCTTTCTCTCCTCTCCCACTTTCATCCCAAGATGAGAAAACAGTTCCAATTTTTTCCCTCCTTCTTCAAGGAAGCTGTAACTAGAGAATGTGGGGAGAGACTTCTGGCAAAAAGGCAGATAAATCTGAAATGGGTGTCTATCCTTACTCCTACAAAAAACCATAGGATTATGACCTAAAATATAACAATCTTTTTTTTTTTTTTTCCAAATAGTGAAGCTCAAAAGGAAGAAATATTCCTGGATCCAGAAACAAAGAGATGAATCAATCAAAGCAGAACATGTGCTAGTAATTATGAGCTGACACCACAGAAACACAAGGGTTTTCCTTGCCTAGGAGTTAGGATCTAGGGTCTGGATTTCTAATACAGGAACAGGGGATCAAGAACAAGAAATGAGGCTCTGCCTATAAAGTGTTCTAGAAAAATTCCACTCACTAGTCCAGTGAAATGGTGAGGGAGTTTGTAGTCTGCTCAGCATTTAATTCTTCCAGAACTTCTCTTTTTAGTCATGAATCAAAATTCACTAAGCAAAAACTGACAAAACTAAAAAGAGAATGTCCAGAAGAAGAAATATTTTAACATATCCTTTCCCATTAATCAATAGAACATACAGATATACCAAAAAAAGATAAGTAAAAATATATAAGATGTAAACAACATTATCAACCAACAAGAACTAACTGGTATTTACAGAACATGCTACCCAAAATTGCAGAACATACATTCTTTAAATGCACATAAAACATTCACCAAGATAGACCATATGATAGTCTGTACAGTAAGTCATAATATATTTCAAAACATTGATATATTAAAGATCATATTCTCTGATCACAGAATTAAAACAGAAAATCAATAAAAATATTTTTTTAAAAAAATCTAGGACTGCCCTCCCCCCCAGTACCTGGAAAATAACACACTTCTAAATTACCCATGGATCAAAGAAGAAATTAGAAAATATTTTGAACTGAATGAAAATAAAAATAAAACATATTTTTGAAGTACAGCAAAAATAGGTTTAAAGTGCCCACATTAGAAAAGAAAGACTTGAAATCAGTTATCTACGTTTCTGTTTTAAGAAGCTAGAAAACTAAACCCACATTGCACAGAAGGGAAAATAACATTTTTAAAGCAGTAAACAATAAAGAAAATTAACAAAGTCAAATGTTAGTTCTTCGAAAAGAATGAAAAATTGGTAAATCCCTAGCAAGAAAGATCAATTAAAGAAAAGAAAAAGCACAAATGAACAATATCGGAAATTAACATGAGTGCATCACTACAGATCATACAGGTGTTAAAAAGAAAATAAGAGATACTATGAATGAGTTTATACCAATAAATTTGACAACATAGATAAAATTCTAATTGAATACTAACAACTGTTAAAACTTCTATAAATTATATTAAAACCTCTAGAAATCAGTAACAATTATTCATTTAGAACTAACAAATCCATCCTGGAAGAAGTATAGCCAGAATGCTCCTTGGAAGTGAAAATGGTGAGACTTTGTCTCACCTACTTTGGTCATGTTGTCAGAAGGGACAATTCCCTGGAGAAAGATACCATGCTTAGTAATCTGGTGGGTCAGTGAAAAAAATGGTAAGGCCCTCAACCAGACGGACTGATGCAGTGGCTGCAATGATGGGCTCAGGTGTGGCAAGGATTGTAAGGCTGCCACAGGACCGGGCAAATTAACAATATCACACCTGTTGTACATAGGATTTCTATCAGTCAGAGCTGATTCAACAGCACCTAACAACAACAACAACAATAGTAACAAAGATGAAGATGTGGTCTTACTGAACTTTAATAACTATGGGTCTATGCTGGTGCTGCTAGTGGTTCATTCTCTGCACAGTTGTCTTAAGATTTCTGTCCTGGTTCCTCCAGAAGCAGTAGCTAGATTGAACAGAGTTAGCTCTCCCAATGCTGAGGAGGTTTGTACCAAAAACAATCAATTTATTGTTACTGATTTTTCTAATTTCTTGATAGTACAACATACAACTGATTTAAGAAAAAAACTGAAAGACTAAATAGCCCTATATTTAAGAAATTGAATTCATAGTAATAATTTTAAAAAATACATTTTAAAAAATGGTTCATTACTATTAAAACGTCTAGAAATCAGCCAAAAATAAATTATCAAGGAAATAAATTATCATAAGGGAAAGCAGATTAATAAAACATGGCACATGCAAGAACTGCTAATAATATAATAATATGAAAAATAATATAATAACGTGAAAAACAATAAAAACAGACCCACTGCCATCAAGTTGATTTGGACTCATAGCAACCCTCATTGGGTTTCCAAGGTGGTAAATCTTCATGGAAGTAGAGTGGCTAGTGGGTTTGAACCTCCAAACTTCTGGTTAGCAGTCAAATGCCTTAGGCACTGTGCCACCAGAACTCCTTAATAATATGAAAGAAACTATAAAATAAATATGTTATGCTTAAGATAATTAAAGAACTTAAAGAAGGAGTTCAAAAAAATAAAGTATAAGACAAAAAGAATCAGCAGATCTGCAAAATAACTAAAAGAAACTCATGGAAATGAAAATATCTGGATGAAAGTTAAAAATCTAAAGAACAGCTTAAATAATGATTAAAAACAGCTGAAGGAAGAATGAATCAATTTAAGATTGATCTGAGGGAATTACCAAGAATACAGCACAGTCAGATAAAGAGATGGAAGGAGAGAAGAGAAATTAGAGGCATGGAGGTGAAAATGGAAAGGTCTAATAATACACATCTAATAGGCACTTGACTGCTAACCAGAAGGCTGGTGGTTGAAACCCACCAGCCACTCCTCGGAAGGAAGGTTGGGCAATCTACTTCCATAGTGATATCGCCTCAGAAACCCAAGGAGAGGTTGCTATGAGTCAGATCCAACTTGACAGCAGTGCGTTTGGTTTTTGGTTTAATAGAAGTTCCAGAAGAAGGAATAAAAGAGAAGAATGGAGAATCACTCTCCGATGAGAAAATTCATAAGAACATCCCCTAATTTAAAAAGGTCTTGTCTCAGGTTGAAGAGAAACAATAGATGTCACATGCTGTTGTTGTTGCTATTATGTACTGTTGAGTCGGACCGACTCATAGTGACCCCTCCTTGGGTTTCTGAGGCAGTATCACTATGGAAGTAGATTGCCCAACCTTCCTTCCGAGGAGTGGCTGGTGGGTTTGAACCTCCAGTCTTCTGGTTATCAGTCAAGTGCCTTAGGCACTACACTACCAGAGCTCCTAGATGTCACATAGGATAATAAAAACAGATATAGCACCTAGACACATCCTGATGAAATTGTAGAAGATCAGAGACGAGAAGAAAATCTTAAAAGTGAGAGAAAAGAATACATTAATCTGCAAAGGAATGATGATTAGCCTGACACAAGGAGATTTCAGAGTCAATGAAATGATATCTTCAAAGTGATGGAAGGAAAATAACAATTGTAGGGGAGGGGGAGCAAAATACCAGCTACCAATGGCAACCGTTGGGAAAGGGATCAAATCTGGAGATCCTAAATAGAGTGGGAGGAAAATTGTGGAACAAAACTCAAGAACACAAAAATGACCAGAATTACTGGTTGGGAAGAGACTGGTGAAATCCCTGAGACTATGGCTCTGGTTACCCTTCGGGCCTAGAAATGGACTCACTTACATGGATTGGCTCTCAGCCCAATAGTAGAAAGACCTACATGCAGAGCACCTACCCCAGGTCGATTCATCCACTTACTCTAGGGAGATGCACCCCTTAGATCAGTCAGCCATGAGGCACCGGGGGGTAGCACTCACCTAGAGGGAAAGGAAAGCTGGACCGACAGGAATGCATAGATAAGGAGGGCACAGGGAGGGATAGTCACAGGGAAGAGATGGGAGGAGAGCTCTTTATGTCTGGGGATGGGGAATCAGGGCCATGAAATCAGAGGTGCATGAACTACTGAATGTAAAACAAGTTTGCTTTAGAAATCTGTACTCAAAGAACAACAATAACAATAAAAAGAGTGGGACACATTTTTCTTACTGAAAAAAAAAAAAGTTATCAAAGGATATACTTTGTCAAGGAGGAAATTAATCCTAGAAGTAATCAATGAGATACATTAAACAATGATAAACTAGGAAATTGGTAAATATCTTGGTTAATTTAAATAAGCATTCACTGAGTCATAATAATGATTGATTTTTGTGGGGCTTAAAAAACAAGATATAACCAAAATAGTGGTTCTAATATGGTTGGTGCAGTGAAAATATTGTTTCCTTTATTGCTCAGGAAGAAGAATGTGATTTTAAATTTAAGTCAAAGATGCATGTTAAAACTTGGGGATAACCCCTAAAAATAGAGGAGTAGGATGCATTGTTTTTAATCTATTAGAAGAAAATGAGAGACCAATGAAAGCTTGATCAATGGAAAAAAGCAAGTATATGCTTGGATTAAAAACCAAGATAATGGAGAGCTGGGTCATGGAACTAAAGGGAGCTGGTAACAGCTCTTGAACAATGAAGTCTGAGCAGAATAGCAGGTCAGTCGAGTTGCTGAGACTAAAGGGCTGGGGTCCTTGCCTTTTTGAGATGTGTGCTTCTCCACTTCTCCTTTGTAATCAAAGCCAACTGCTGACTACAGAGAAAAGGAGAGAATTGGTTAAAGAGTCAGGAACTATATTCCTTCCCCTCCCTGCCTTCCCCTTATTCCCAGCTCAGCCCCAGAGCTACAGGGTGATGTTGTTGTTGTTATGTGCCTTAGAGTCGGACCCGACTCATAGCAACCCTTCCTTGGGTTTCCAAGGCGGTATCACTACGGAAGTAGATTGCCCAACCTTCTTTCCGAGGAGTGGCTGGTGGGCTTGAACCTTCAGCCTTCTGGTTAGCAGGCAAGTGCCTCAGGCACTGTGCTAATGTTGTTGTTGTTGTTGTTGTTGTTATGTGCCGTCGAGTCAGCCCTGACTCATAGCGACCCCTCCTTGGGTTTCCGAGGCAGTATCACTACGGAAGTAGGATTGCCCAACCTTCCTTCTGAGGAGTGGCTGGTGGGTTTGAACCGCCAGCCTTCTGGTTAGCAGTCAAGTGCCTTAGCTAATAGGTACCAATATATCCAGTCCTAGAGTCAGTCAGGGAGCACTGGTAGCATAGTGCCTAAGGCACTTGTCTGCTAACCAGAAGGCTGGAGGTTCAAACCCAGCAGCCACTCCTCGGAAGGAAGGTTGGACAATCTACTTCCGTAGTGATACCGCCTCAGAAACCCAAGAAAGGGTCGCTCTGAGTTGGGTCCGAATCCAAGGCACATAACAACAACAACAGGGCAGGAGATGTGCTAATGAGAGATCAGGAAGGAGAGGCCACGATGAAACAGGAGATTCCATCCTGATTATAGAGCACTGTTGTATGATGTTCAGTCCATTCCCACCACAGTGATCCTATAGGACACAGTAGAACTGTTTCATAGTTTCTAGACTGTAATCTTCATGGAAGCAGACCATCAAGTCCTCTCTCCCACAAAACTGCTGGTAAGAGACCTTTGTCTTAGCAGTGGAGTGCTTAACCATTACTTCCTTAAAAACTTACCTTCTGTCCTTTTCCTTTTCTCTTTACAGACAGTCCTCAGGTTATGAACGAGATCTGTTCCTAAGTGTGTTTTTAAGTTGAATTTGTAAGTAAGTAAGAACAGGGTATATGGTTCTTATTTAATCTACCTTTAATGCAAGAGAGGAGCTTTGGTTGCACAGTGGTTAGAGCATTTGGCTGCTAACCAAAAGGTCAGTGGTTTGACTCCATCAGCCGATTCATAGGAGAGCAATGAGGCAGTCTGCTTCCATAAAGATTTACAGCCTTGGAAACCCTATGGGGCGGTTCTACTCTGTCCTACAGGGTCATGACGAGTCAGAATCAGCTTGATGGCAGTAGGTTTGGTTTTGTTTTTTAGTGCAAGATCTGCTTCTGTAAAGCCTTTTCAATGATTTTAAAAGCTGTGCATACAGCAAGTAAAGGGATTGTGATGAAGAATTTGTTGCCAGTAGGGGTTGGTGCAATCATTTCAAAGTGAGGGCAAATTGACATAATATTAAAGTGCAAATAGGAGTTGTCCATCATTTGTAACAAGGGACTGCCTATATAATATGTTTTGAACCTTTCTTTTCTTTTTTTCCCCCCTACAATGCATATAAATAACTTTCTAGCACTTAGCTTTAAGGATTCAGGCCCACCTAATTAGCAACTGCTGGTAAAAAGGAATCTCAAGATAGTTGTGAAAAACATCTTCTGAGTAACTGCAAGGGAAGAGACACAATTTTGTGCCATTAAAATTAGTTCAAAGAACTGATCTAGTAAGGTATGGAACGGAGAACCTCAGGGAGATTCTTACTCTCTTGTGCATCCTTTAATCATACTGTCCTTTTTATTTGGTCTTTAAAATGAGTTGTTTTTGTAGAAAGAAGTCTTTAAAATACCAGCATTTCAGAGATTAGTGCCAAATACCATGTAAAGTAACTACCTTCTAAAAACATTATAACTTTCATTAGTTGTTTTAGTGATCATTTGTGCCTTAGTAATAATATTTAAACTGGCACCTCTGGTTTTCTAAAATGTATATTTGTAACGTTACAATATTAGGTCAAAAGAGGAGCTTTAGAACTTTTCAGTCTTGAGCATATATAATAACAACTCATGACTTAACGGATTCCTTATTCAAAGAGTTTGAGAGTTTTTGTTTTATTTAAATTAATGTCTTTCAGCTGAGTATGTGGCCTCCAACATGGCACCAAGAAACTTGCTGAGGGAAGTCATGGGAACTAACTAGCATCCACTGCCCTATCCTTTCATAAGAGAATGGGCACACAGTCAAGTGTGAGTGGTGGTAAGGCCAGCATGATTTGACATAGGCAGAGTGGTCACTTACCTTGTCTGCCCTGTCTCTCTCAACTCCATATTTGCCCCCAAAGCCTCTGGCAGCATCAGTCTGAGAAGAATGTTTCTCTACCTCAGCAACATATTCATGGCCCACCGCACTCTGAGAAAATCAAGAACAGAGTGAATGACAGGATAAAAATATCCATGAAAAAATAGAAAGATATAGAGATGGGATGGAATGTATGAATACAAGAAATCTCATTCTGGGTTAGACTCGTAGCCTCTGATGTTTGATGTCAAGGAGTATGATGGGAAAGCAAAGTGACTTTTTTTTTTTTTTTTGTAATCTAACACATCCCTGATACTTCTTGAATACAATTAGGAATTCATCATTTAGGAAAGTCAAAGAAGATGGGCTGGGAGGCAGAAGAGAGACTAGGTAGATGAAGCTGTATTTAAACTAGAGGAGGGAAAAAAAGAGCTAAAACAAGAAATCTGTTCATCAAAACAGAAATGAGAGTAGGTATGGGGAAACATCAGTTAGGGCTGACTGGACACCATAACTGGAATTTAATGTTTCACAAAAACAGCCTTCTGGATCCTTCTGGATCTTTGCTCCTACTGAAGCCACTGCAGTTCAGAAGTGCCACTTGTGCCCTGATATTTAACTGTGACTGACTCTTCATACCAAAGAAGGTTGGTACAATTTGGGGAGTTGTCCAAGATAGCAGATAACTCAATCACTTCCACTCTTTACTCCACCTATTCGTTTTATTTTCTATTTGGTTTTGATGCATACTTCTCTTCTAATATTTAGATAGGGACACTTTCATAATCTGAGAATTAAGTAATAAATCAAACCAAGTAATGATACCATCTTGCAAAGTCTCAACTAAGAAGAAATTGGAAACCTCTTTCCTCCTATATTTACAATCCTATACTGGCCTAAACAGCTCAGCACAAAGATTGACATAAAGCTCTGCCCCATATGAGCTCCTGGGAACTTGTTTTGCAGTATTTCTGTGTCTGTCTTGGACAGTTTCACTTTATTTGTTGAATTTAAATTTTTAAATATTTAATGAATAAAGAAAATTCAACATTCACATTTGGAGGTCATCTAATGGGTAAGTTCACATCAATATTTTTCAAACCTATATATACAATGGGAGTTCTGGTGGTGTAGTGCCTAAAGCACTTGACTGCTAACCAGAAGGCTGGCGGTTCAAACCCACCAGCCACTCCTCGGAAGGAAGGTTGGGCAATCTACTTCTGTAGTGATACTGCCTTGGAAACCCAAGGAGGGGTCGCTGAGTCAGGTCCAACTCCATTGCAGTAATTTTTTTTTCTCTTTTTGTGTATATGTACAATATATATATGATATATTCAATCACACAATAAAATAAAGAATAATAGAAGTTGCAAAGTACACATAATATAAGAACATTTAAAAGCCAAAAACAAGTGTAAAACATGTTTCCTTTCCCCTTCTCCACTGTGCTCCTTCTCTCCCAGTCTAGGAGTTACAGCATAGCTGGGACTGCAGTAGGCCAGTCCTTCTAAATATGTATGTTGCTGTTGTTGTTGTTGTTGTTATGTGCCATGGAGTCAGACCTGACTCATAGCGACCCCTCTTTGGATTTCTGAGGTGGTAACACTATCGAAGTAGATTGCCTAACCTTCCTTTCAGGGAGTGGCTGGTGGATTTGAACCTCCAGCCTTTTGGTTAGCAGTCAAGTGCCTTAGGCACTACGCTACCAGAGCTCCCCTAAATATATATATGGATGCTCTATTTTAGACCAAATACTGTATTTTTTAATAAGTTTTAAACCTTAAAACCAAGAAATTGTTCAATGTATCTTTTTTTTTTTTTTTTAAACCCTTTCAACGCACCTTGTCCATTCGGTCTCGTTCTACCCCAAACCGGCCTCCATAGCCATGAGACGCCTTGGGCCCTGACTCCATCTCTTTCTTCTTGAGAACATCATGCTCCTCTGAAACTTTGTTCCTCAGCTGGTGGATGCTGGAAGTAACCACATGACAGAAGCTCACACAGCACATGGAGGTCAACACACTGCTTTCTCAGAAAAAAGGAAACCTTGAGGTCTGTTCTGTTTTTAGCAATAACCTGAGCATCCAAAATTAACAAGTGATTGTCTGGGAGTAAGAGATCCATGTGGTTTACATATCATAGTTTGATTTAAACTGTCTATAAACCAATTTATAGACATTCCATTAATGTTATTTTGCTTGCTGAAATAATTTTCTGATCTTTAGTCCCATCTTTCATGTTCCTAAGTATTATAGGACATCAACACCTATATTCTAGTAATGGGGTAGTTATTCTTTCTGAATGAATTTGCTTTCTAGCAATTGGGTAATCTGTCTCAAGCATACAAATATTCATATTTTTGACCTACATGCTCTTGTACTGGGAGTCTATGCCAAGGAGATAATTTTAAATATGGAAAATCTCAATTGAATAAAATAATAAGAATCAAAAAACAATCTTATATGGCCAATAATTGGAGAACAGTTATGTAAATTGCAACATCATCTTTCAATGTATATTAGGAAATCATTAAAAATAATGGTTATTAAATTGTGGCATTAGGAAAATTCCTCTGTACATGAGTAATTTGTATACTTTCTTGTCATGAATTAGCCTCTTCCCTCCAATAGGCCTGATAATTCCTGAGAGAACTAAAAAAAAAAAAAAAAAACCCAAACTCACTGCTGTTGAGTCGGATCCAACTCATAGCAACCCCTCCTCGGGTTTCCAAGGCAGTATCACTACAGAAGTAGACTGCTCAATCTTAAACTAAAAATAAGTAATAAAAGTTACTCTTTTCAACTGATTTCTGTAATACTTTAGGACTGAAATAACCTTGATTTGGGAACTTCTGCTCCTAAGAGAAAGGAGCCCTGATGGTGCATAAGTTAAGTGTTTGCTGCTTCCGTAAAGATTACAGCCAAGAAAACCCTATGGTGCAGTTCTGCTCTGTCACATGGGGTCACTATTAGCTGAAATCGACCAGACCACACCTAACACCAGCAACAACCCCTCAGAGAAAGTAACACCAAAAGCTGGCATCCTCTTTGTTACATCACACTCACTTCCATCTTTACCATGAAAATAGCTGCAATACTGGAGTCTGTTGTTGTTGTTGTTGTTGTTTGCTGTCGAGTCGGCCCCGACTCATAGCGACCCCTCCTTGGGTTTCCGAGGCAGTATCACTACGGAAGTAGGATTGCCCAACCTTCCTTCCGAGGAGTGGCTGGTGGGTTTGAACCGCCAGCCGTCTGGTTAGCAGGCAAGTGTCTTAGCCACTATGCTACCAGAGCTCCCTACTGGAGTCTAGAGGGAGGCATTTCTGCGAATGGGTTTGACCCATGGATAGGAAGCTGGAGCTCACCATCAGCCTCAACAAGGACTGGCACTTGGACACATATAAAGACCCCTGGAGATTCTTAGAACTATTTGGGCAAGAGAATTTGAGATAAAAATTTGACTTCCTGTAGTAACCAATGGAAGTTTAGAGTATTGAAATAGTAATGTTACTAAGACTTCATCTATAATCACTAGCTGGGAAAACCAGACCTATCGGTGACAGTAGAATGGCCATCTCACAGCTAGAATTCTCTTTAATGAAAGAATAGATCCATCTGGTGGCCTTGTATGATAATCCCATTACTGGCCTTTAAAAACACCTTAGTTGTAACAGGTGGGGGAAGCTTTAGCCACAGTTAATTTTAGAAAGCTGGCTTTGAGCCAGATGAAATGAAGCTTAGTGCTGGAAGAACCCTCTGTCACCATGCCTGCTCTCAACCCTCTGGCAGTGTGAAAGCTGAGATCCTTGTGTTGCTAGTTCATCGACACCAACCATTTAGAACTGTGTTTAAGGTCAAAATGAGCTATTGGCATCAAGAACATATAAATGATTATCAGATATTCCCCAACTCAAGTACTCAGAAGAATGAAGAAAACGGAGCCAAATGCTTCTTTCAAATGGGAAAAGTATGTAAAAACTTTAATGAGCCCAGTGACTGTTACACGGATCACAACTATATTATAGTTGAAACAAGTTTTTAAAATCAATTAGAAAATGAGTTGCAGAAATGTCCATCTAAGGACCGACAGAACAGTGCAAGGCCAGTCAGGGGATGAAGCCAATTTGAGATGATGTAATTTGAGTGAAAATGTTGAGGGCTGAGGAGACTCCCAATTCCTACCAAGTTTTTAGGCTATAACTGGGCCACTTCAAATAGGTCCTAGCTATATCATTCCTTCATTTAATAAATATTAATGGAGCAACTTTGGAGTGTCAGGCACTATTAGTTTCTGAGGATACACAGGGGATAAACGTATGGAGATAGTGGTGGTCAGGTGTAACGAACAGATGGAAAAACTAAAGATCACAATTCATTGTGCTGAGCCTGAGAAACTTTTGACACTTTAACTCTAAGATGCCTATTTTAAGTTTTAAAATACCTTGGAAAACTTTTCTTTATGTGATAGGAAATTTGGCAAAGATTATGGGTGATGGTTGCACAACATGAGTAATGTAATCAATGTCACACTAGACTGTACACCTGAAAAATGTTGAATTGTCAAATTTGTGTTATCTATGTTTTTATAACAGTTTTTTAAAAAACTTGAAATTGATAAAGCAGCAGTTTTTAAAAGTTTCATAAAGTAGTTTTTGGAAACCAAGGAAAATCTAAGATCTCACAGATGAGTAAAGAGAAAGATCAGGTGTTTTGTCTTTGCCACAAAATTAAAAGCATGAAGATAACTGACATATTAAAAGGTCTTAATCCACAGATAAGTGCTTAGGGCACTTGACTGCTAAACAGAAGGCTCGTGGTTCAAACCCACCAGCCACTGCCCAAAAGGAAGGTTAGGCAATCTACTTTCCTAGTGACACCTCCTCGAAAATCCAAGGTGGGGTTGCTGTGAGTCGGGTCTGACTGGACTGCACATAACAACAACAACAATCTACAGATAACATGATTGTGTAGGTAGAAAATCCAAATGAGTCTAAAAAAAAAAAAAAGCTACTAGAATTTTAAGTGCATTTGACAAGGTCATAGGATACAGAGTCACTATATAAAAATCAATTCTATTTCTAAATACTAGCTACAAATATTTGGAAATTTAAATGTAAAAATAAATACCACATACGACTGCCTGAAATAACATGAAATATTTGGAGATAAATTTAGCAAAACATGTACAAGACCAGAACACTGAAAACATTTCTTTTAAGGGCAATGTACCAAATGTGAGTGACCAATATGGCAGCATTGAGGATGAGAAAGACAGAGAGGTACCTGGGAGGTACAGACAACAAACATGAACCCTTTTGCATATACAGTACTGAGTTGTCAGTGAAGGCAAACATGGGTACACGGATGGATAGATAGGTGGACAGGCTAAACGATTAGGTATATCTATGAAATGGGGAGTGTATCGAAGATCATATATAGGGTTGGCAGACAATGGTTCTATAAGTTTATGTGAATAATCAGAATTCCCAGGTGTATAGTAGAGCTGACAAGGGGCAAGGTTGTGGTCACTGCTTGGTTACAGCCAGCTACCCAGAGTGACCAAGTAGTTGAACCTGTGGGCTTGGGACCATAGTCACAGGGGACATCAAGCTCAATTGGCATAA